TGCGTGGCATCGTGTGAGCAAATGATGTATCAGGTGGTTTGCATGTGTTGTTTTGGACGAAAGGCGGAGCAGGCAATCGGTGAATATTTGGTTCGTGGACTGGATTGGAGAGGAGGGAGATGAGTTGAGAAGGTACGCTTTTAGCGTTGCGTGGCATCGTGTGAGCAAGTGATGTATCAGGTTGTTTGCATGTGTTGTTTTGGACGAAAGGCGGAGCAGGGAGTGGGTGAACATTGGGTGGTTGGGTTTGGCGTGGAGTGGAGTGGAGTGAGGGGAATGATTTGAGAAGGTACGCTTTTAGCGTTGCGTGGCATCGTGTGAGCAAATGATGTATCAGGTGGTTTGCATGTGTTGTTTTGGACGACAGACGGAGCAGGGAGTGGGTGAACATTGGGTGGTTGGGTTTGGCGTGGAGTGGATTGGAGTGAGGGGAATGATTTGAGAAGGTACGCCTTTAGCGTTGCGTGGCATCGTGTGAGCAGATGATGCATCGGGTGGTGTGTAGTTGATGGTTTGGACGGAAGACGGAGCAGGGAGTGGGTGAATATTGGGTGGTTGGGTTTGGCATGGAGTGGAGTGGAGAGGAGGGAGATGAGTTGAGAAGGCACGCTTTTAGCGTTGCGTGGCATCGTGTGAGCAAATGATGTATCAGATGGTTTGCATGTGTTGTTTTGGGCGAAAGACGGAGCAGGGAGTGGGTGAACATTGGGTTCGTGGACTGGATTGGAGAGGAGGGAGATGAGTTGAGAAGGTACGCTTTTAGCGTTGCGTGGCATCGTGTGAGCAAATGATGTATCGGGTGGTGTGCAGTTGATGGTTTGGACGGAAGGCGGAGCAGGGAGTGGGTGAACATTGGATGGTTGGGTTTGGCGTGGAGTGAGGGGAATGATTTGAGAAGGTACGCCTTTAGCGTTGCGTGGCATCGTGTGAGCAGATGATGCATCGGGTGGTGTGTAGTTGATGGTTTGGACGGAAGGCGGAGCAGGGTCACCCACTTATAACCCACCAACCCAAACCGGTGGAGTGGAGTGGAGAGGAGGGAGATGAGTTGAGAAGGTACGCTTTTAGCGTTGCGTGGCATCGTGTGAGCAAATGATGTATCAGGTGGTTTGCATGTGTTGTTTTGGGCGAAAGACGGAGCAGGGAGTGGGTGAACATTGGGTGGTTGGGTTTGGCGTGGATTGGAGAGGAGGGAGATGAGTTGAGAAGGTACGCTTTTAGCGTTGCGTGGCATCGTGTGAGCAAATGATGTATCAGGTGGTTTGC